AATCCTTTGAATAATGTATTATATTGAATGTATTGGTCTTAGTATTGTTACCCACTATGGGAGATCTAATCAAAAAAAAAGAAAAAGAAGAGAAAGAAAGAAAAAGGCAGAAAGAGAGAAAGAAAAAGACAGACAGAAAGAGAGAAAGAAAGAGACAGAAAGAGAGAGAAAGAAAAAGACAGACAGAAAGAGAGAAAGAAAAAGACTTACAGAAATAGAGAGGAAGAAAGAGAGAAAGAAAAGGACAAAAAGAAGGAAAGAAGAAGAAGAAAGAAAAAGAGAGAATTAAATTTAAGTTTCTCACTAGAAGAGTATGATTTGGGAGTAATCCATGTCCAAGGGAGTTGATAACACTTGTTCTGACGCACTTGCACGTGCTGTGTAATTTTATGATCATAAGGGTCTTTTGTATTGATTGTGTTGTATACTGTAATGATTATTGAAGTGGTATAGTCCTTTGAATAATGTATTATATTGAATGTATCGTTGCTAATGTGAGTGTATATATATATAATATCTTAGTTAAAAATTGTCTAACGCCAATTTTTAATTCTCTAAGAAGGGAGTTGTAAAGAATTTGTTATTATATATTTATTTCCATATCAACGTTTGTCTGGATTAAGTTTATATTTAGAAACATACATGGTTTATACTGTCAAATATGTATTGCGAAACTCCCGCCTATTCTCCAAAGTTGTAGAAGATTCTCGAGAGTAAGAGTCAACAATATGTGTGTACGTAAACGCTTGTGTTAACGCCAGTATTGTTACTGTATGTATCAATCTTGTTGGCAAATATAACAAACTGACCATATATCAGCATTTATTTAAATATTAAATTCAAAATACAATTTAACTACTAAATTTAAATTATCAGTTAACTCAATTTCAGACCATTTGAAATTCCAATACGTAACAGAAATAATAAAGAAAACAAAGAAAAAATAAAACAGCTTCAAATGTACCTGCTTATTTCTTTCTTACTATACAATAGTAATACTTAAAACTACAATGGTCGGTTAAAATCATTACAAACGAAAAAAAATTAAGGATTTCTAAAATTTTCAGTGTTAGTAACTCTTTATTAAAGTTAGGTAAGATTAAGTTTGCAATACCTTTTATAGCAGGCATAAAAGCTACTCCTTGAAAGATTTGTAAATGTTTTTAGCAGTATATTACTCCACGATATATATAATCAACTCTTTCTATGAAAGAAATTGTTCTTTACCGTATTTCGTTGGCCTATTTCACTACTGGAATAGAGTTCCAGTCATTTCATATTTGTCAATATGGTCATGAAATTTGAAGATAACTTCAAATTTTGGTATGGTAATCATAACAAGAATGAAATAATTTTCGTGCAGTCTATTTTGAAGCTAATTATTCATTTAGTAATAGGGTTATTACCTTTTATACAGGTAGTAAGAATTATCATGGATGACTTCCAAATGTTTTCGTCCTCCATAACATAATGCTTATTTATTGTTTTAATAAACATTACAAATTCTAACTATGTCGTATCTCATAAATTCAATAAACAATGGTTAATTGAGTAAATATAATTTTCAAACATATATCAATTATCGATGAAAAAATAGAAATAGAAAATAGCTAATTACATAATTTCTGTTGATGTGGAAAGTTTGATGAAGCTTTCAGCTCCATTTCTGAAGTAGACATTTCATTTTAAAGTGTGATTTATACTTTTCTTTAACCCTTCAATTGTAATTTAAGTTGAAACGTGAAATAGAGTACGGACTTCTTTCTTTATTCACAACATGCAGAATGTACATTACAACAACACTTAATTTTAGTTGAAATTCAAACACTGTTATATATAAACTAGACATGACGTCAACTTCTGATAACATTGAAAGCAAAATTATTTATATAAAGTTCTTAATATTTGTCCTTGTTGGTCGCCGAAGTTTGTCGATGGTCAGTCTTGCAAAAGCCTTTTTATAGTCCGTACTGTTCAAAGCATAAATAAAGGGGTTAATAGCAGAGTTGACCCAGCCCAACCACACAAGACACGATGATAACTCTTGAGGAATTTCATACGTACAGAAAGGTCTGATGATGTATAAAATGAAAAAGGGAAGCCAGCATAAAACAAAACCTCCAACCACTACAGATAAGGACTTCGCCACTCTCCTTTCTCTCTGAAAAGCAGCTTTTTCGTAACCTTGTCTACGTGTCCACGTATCTTTTTGAATTTTTAAACCACGGCAGAAGGCAGTGCTACTGAAAGACGTTTCCCGAGATTCATTGGACGAATATGTTCTGATTAATCCTCTATCGCTATCACAGCTTTTTTCCAATATCAATGTAGCTCGCACAGAAGGAATACGAGAAATTGAAGGGGCTAAGGTTAAATTTTGAATTTTGTCGGAGCCCTTGTCATTCGTTTTTCCCAATCCTGCTTCTTGATCTATGGAAACTGGACTAATGTCAATCCGCACAGCGGGATCCGTATTTCTGTGCGATCTGGATCTTTCCAGACTGGAGCTCGTGTGGTCCCCAACACTGCTGTGACAGGAAGAATTACCCTGTTGACCGTCGTCTATTTTTTTTTTTATGCTGACACCACTCGTAAGAACCGACTCTCGTTTCCTAGCTGCTGCAAAAATCCTGTAGTAAACATACAACATAACAAAAGCTGGTATAAAGAAGGACCCTAAAGCCGAGTATACTACGTATCCAACGTTTGTGTTATACCCACACCCTGAAGAATTTTCCCTATCGGATTCGTGCCAGCCAAAGATGGGCGGGCAGGTAATAAGGGCTGACAAAACCCACACACCTGCGATCATAACGACTGCCAACTTTGAGTTCCGTTTTACAACGTAACTCATGGGAGAAGTGATAGCAAAGTAGCGATCCAAGCTGATACAGCACAAATTTAAGATAGACGCTGTACATAATAAGACATCTAAAGATATCCAGAACTCGCAGGCGATTCTTCCTAGTTGCCAACGATGAGCCACTTCCTGCATTACACCAAAAGGCATCACTAGAAACCCCACTAGTAAGTCAGACACAGCTAAGGACACCACAAAGTAATTAGTAACTGTTCGCATCCTTCGTGTCGTCGCAACGGCAGCAATTACTAGCATATTCCCTACCAAAGTAAGGAGGATTACCACAGACAAAACAACAATGACGACGGTGTTACTAAACGTCAGCTCCATTGGAGGAGTTACGACTCTTCTGGTTGTACACTCTTCTAAGCCGTGACAGAAAATGTTGACATTATTTTTATGACAATCAAAAGCTCAGGCGGTGTAATTAAAAATATTCACAGCAATTAAGAAGTAACTTCAAATCTTTCTCTCTATTGGTCATGTTCTTACATATTTAACTTTATCATAATCGCGTCAAGAAACACGACTGGCAGACGTACTCGAACTACTCCCGTTCACTCACGTTCGAGTAGCTAATAAGTGAGTTCAACTTCTGTAAGTCCTCAGTTTAAAATATATATGTGAAATTCACATAAGGCAGGGTATATGCAGAGGTTCATTCCTCACTACGAAAGTAATCTAGTTTCAACACAAAAGAAAACTTACGAGCTCTGTCTTTAAAGAACACGTGCAAATAAAATATTTATAGTCATCAATTTATCAGTAAGGACAAATGACCATTGTTATTTCAATCAAGATTGTTATTTTCTACCTTCTAGTAACATGAATATTATTGATTTGCTAAATATTTTCTACGTATTTCGTTCAGCATTCCGCAAAAATGAAAATTAATTACGTGTTGTGGTATATTCCACGGCAGTAGTTGTTGTGTTACTATTATGTCCATGTTCCTCGAGTTTTTCATATAAAATCCGATATTGGCTATTGAATACAAAATGTTCTACTAACTGATGGATATAAGATTATCGTTTTGGGAAAAATATAATTCTAACTTCACCACATTTTCATTTAAAATACGTCGAATAAATCCCGGGTTACAGATCTTATGCATTTGCTGTCTTCGAGGTCACTGTATACTGATTTTCCAACTTGGATCTGAAAAACATAAACACAAGATCTCTAAAACTTTAACACTTGAGTCGCAAGTATTTAAATAAATTGAATGTAATTATTTTCAATATGTTCAGTGGAAATTTTACCCTTTCAGAAACGAAGTTCAGCTAAAGATATGTTTTAAAAAACATAGAACATCCTCTCATATCATTTTTAACTTGACACCTTTATTTCAAAACTATTATCTTTAATGTTGGTTTGTTAAAAAACAAAAAAAAATTATATTTGAATAAACACCGCACACCCATATATCACATTTAATAGACTAATTACAGTCGAGATTTATTTAAAGTATCTTAAATATAATAATAATTAAAACCATAAAAATTAGTGCACATTATTTCATTTCTATAAGAACATGTTTTCGGCATCTTAATGGACAGGAAAATAATTGGTAAAGCTTAGTTCGACCTGTGGTTTGTTTAAGTTGACTTTTCCTTGCACACATTTTTAAAAGTTATTGTATTTCATTTGCGAAAGACTTTATACAGATTTCGTAAAACATATGTAAATAAAGTTAACATCGATTTCGATGAATAAATTGTTCCTTTAAAGTCGAAAATAATTTACCAAAGCTTATATTATCAATAAATTTCAGATATATATATATATAGTTTGAGTAATCATATTTTTCATCTAGTACGTTTTATTTAAACCCTTTGTAATGAGTAATTCTTAAAATATCTTGTCTCCATTCAAAGGGTATGTATATGGTTGTTTTATAGGTAAATAACGATAAAGCAAAGCATTGGGACGAATGCCAATATGTTTTAATGCTTATGGTTATATCTGAAGTACGTTATGTATGGTAAAGTAAACAAAACATAATGTAGTAAAAGTATACTTTGCTCAAAAGAACAATAGTACTTTAAAACATATGTTTAACATTAAATTATGCTTACGTTAATATCTTATTTAGTTCACTTTAATAGAATATGGTTCCTTTTAAATCTGTTAAAGTGATTCATCTTAATAGTTATTTTTGATTTTTTTCATTAGGGCTCCAGTAATTTTTTTAACCAGTTTCCAGAGCCACATAAATGGTTCAGCGTTTGACTAAAGCTAAATATTTTTCTCAAAGTGGTTATGTGTCTTAGTATAGAAAAAGAAAGAAAGCTGAACTTTAAAAATGAAAACCATTCGAACTCATCTTCATCATTAAAGCTATGTGTGCAGTAAAGTTTATTCTGAAGATTCATGGTCTAATATAGTTCAAGGACAATAACAACAACTTAATATAGTTTCAATATTGTAGACGATTATGCTAAAGTGGGCACCCTGTATTATAAAAATCTGATATGTGACTTTCAGAAGCAAAATGGTTAGGATCTTAATGTACATAGTACTGACTCTGTAACTGCTATTTTCTTGGTTATATCTTTTTTACTAGTTTTTGTCTCAAAAAGGCAAACTTGAGCTTTGAATAAAATATTTTCAGAATCAGCAGATTCAAACTCTATAAATATCGTTGTATACTGTATTCTATTCAAAAATGTTTTATAAACCATTTTCCAGGGTTCTTTTCTAGATATGGGACGAGACTAAGATGTGGTGCTATGAATCACTCTTCGTACTTTCAGCAGCGGGTTCGTTATGAGAGTGGCGGTCAATCCTGCTATTTGCTGCTTCAGGCAACGGATTCTGCTGACTGATTCCTACCCTCTATGACCTAAATGCTCAAGTGTGTGTGTGCATAGGATGTTGAACAAACTAATAAAAACTAGAAACCTCGATATAAATATAATCATGGAAGCGACTCATTGAATAAATGTTTACAGATCATATCACTATGGTATCATATATCTCACCCTAGCTTACTAGCTACATTTATTTAATGTGAAGTAGCTAGAAAAAAAAAAGCTACTTTGTTTGATCCAAAGCCTTACTGGTCAGGAAGTTTAAAGATTTGTTAAATAATATGTATTATTTGCTGGCTGCGAGGAGGATGATTATTTGTGACTGATTAACAGACAGTATTATATACAATGAAAAATGGTTAACACCAGATGAATGGCAGAAAGCAAAGCAACTGCGTTGTAAGACCATCAGCTAGATGTATGGGCATTGCCAAGCAGGGGTAATACTAAACAATGACACTAGCAAGCGTTCAGGAGCACTTTTATAAATTCCAGCATACTTCCATTGGCAGGATATCGACCTCCTCTGTACTAATAAGGTGAAAAAAGCAACCATGAAAGATTCTCATCGATACTTAAGGGAAATGACACTGCCGGAAAGCAAATAATCGTGTACTGTAGGTGTGAAAAGCAAAATATGAAAAATCAACTAGACATTACACAGCCAGAAAGCTACTTATAACATGAGTAAAGGAATATTCTTTTACCTCCTGCGAGGCAGCCAGTCTCCACATGAGTGGTTAGCGCTTGTCACTGCAACCCTTAGGATTATCACCTAATACTTAACTCACCTCAACCTGTATTTAAGAAAGGTAAAGATGCAACTACCAGAAAAGGTTATCAACTAATGTCATTCACTAGTACTCTGTGCTAAACCATGGAAAAATGATGTATGCACATATCTTATGGTGGCTTAATAATACATAAAAAATCAAACTTCTGTTTCACAGCATATGACTCAAACACTCACTAGAATACCAACTTTTCTACTTATGTCAATCAATTATAGCTGAATTTCAGGGAGAAAATTCCTCAGAAAATATTTGCTATTTTCCAAGGTGTACATTCGGCATTTGATTAAATATGGAGAAACCACTTGCTACTCAAACTCTGTGAACAAGGAATCTGGAGTAGAACTCCGTTTAGATAAATTTCTTTAGACAGAGAAAAATATAACTGTCAGTAAACAGTAGCTACTCCAAAATAGAGAAACTACACACTAGTGTTCTCCAGGGTTCTGACTTTAGCCTCCGCTATTTCTACTTTACACTCTAGGAGTCCATAAGAATATAACAGGAGATACTCCTGTTGGTTGTTGTGCTGGTGATATGGCAATCTGGTGCACATGTAATAACTTTAAGTGCTTTAAAAGTAGTATAAATCCGTCCTTAGATGCCATTATTGACTGGACATTGGATATGAAACTTCAGCTAAATTCATAAAAGACTAATTCCTGTTTCTTAACTGCTGACATATGGAACAGGAAACCTCCCAAACATCAACATCAGAGTAACATTAATAGAGGCAGTCGTCAATCCCAAGTAAGTTGGTGTTACGTTAGATCCAAATCTATATTACAATGAACATATTACAGACAGTTAAACTTAACTCACCCTAACATGTGTGTAAGAAAGATAAAGACGCAACTACCAGCAAATGTTATCAACTAATGTCATTTACTAGTATTCTGTGCTAAACTGAAGAAGTGCTAATTATAAGACCAGTCATGTGGTTTTCCTCACTAATTGGGGTATACATCTAGGAATTGTCACTGAAAACCTATACTAATTTCAAATTAGAGCAGTCAAAATCATCTGTCGAGATGTAACATGCATGAATGATGTTATTACTGAAGCAGACGAAGACCTAAAATCACTACATGAATAACAAGAATACTTGATAGTTCCCACGACTTTCAGAAAAACAAAATCATATTGCCAAATTGATGCGATCGTCAAGGAGAAGCTAGAAGTAAAATCAGATAAACTTGGGATAATATGAGAACAATTTTTTACCAAATATCTCTAGAAAAATAATTTCTTTATCATAGTAAACCTGAAGGTAGTCACAAAATGTAAGGAGTCTGACTCATGTAAGATCCTCCGAACCCTTGCACTGCAGATCACTGAAAACGAAATCACACACTTACACCAAAGCTCATGCTGATGGATCATCTGATAAACCTTTCAGAAGTGGCTGGTCTGGTGATCACGTGCTACCCAGTAGGTCATATCAAGGACTTTAGTTGGTAAAACAACATTTTCTGATGGTTAGACCATCAAGTGCAACTGACAATAGCTATATCTTTTCGTTTGGAGAAAAAAGAATGATCAAAATTTATCTACAAAAGATTGGTTTTGAGCCTTCTTATGTGAATACTGTAAATAAAGATTACTCATAAAAATCATAGGGGCAGACCGGACAAAAGTAGCCATTCATAAGTAGCCATTATATATAGCGTTATTCAGTTTCAATGCTTTTATTAAAATCTGAATTCATGTAAATGAAAATAATTCAACATTTAGCTGTAGAAAAATTCTTATGTAAGGATTTTGTATAGTTCTGTGTTTTCATCCTTAACTTCTTTCTGTACATTTTGGCATTGCCAACCCTACATGATCTTTAACTTTTTCAAAATGTTTTATTATTATATATTCTAACCAAACCTGTAATACAGCCCTTGATAAAACTTAGGTGTGAGTAGTGTAAAATCTTCTTTAGAAAAATAACGTTTAAATTTCATAACAGTAGTAACAGTAATAGCTTAGTGATGTTTATAACATCACTATTTATTATTTATTTCATTTATCATTTATTACATATCATTTATTGTTTAGTGGGTAAAATGAAAGCAACTGTTATGTGTAGTATGAAACATATATAACAAACACATTCAAGGCTACCTTAAGATTAGAACTATATGATCTCTTACTATCTCAATTAAATTGATGGTAAATGTTCCAAACAACTCCAATTATTAACTTATTTTTGTACGTGCTCACAAGTGTTCACAGAACATTCATAAATTTCCTGTGGTATCATTATTTTGTTATGGGAGAAAAGTTCCAAGAAACGTGAAGCAATGAGAAAGTACTATAGAAAATATACAAAATTCATTCTTCTTCTCCATTTATTTAGTTGTCCGATTTGTTGAAGTCGCTATGTCAGAAACAACACCCGACAATTAAAAATACGTTATTTGGAGCATGCATAAAAATGTCTGAGAAACAAATAGCGCGTCTACTGTCAGGTGTATGAAGAATGTGATTTACCTATCCGAACAGAGCGTTTCCTAATTCTTAACAGAGCTGTCAATAAACAAGAACTAGATGTAAAATAAACTCAAAGTACTTAAATTTAAACCGAAACTAAATTCAAAAGAATATCTGAAACATCTTCATCCGTATACAATAAATACTTATCGTGTACTTATTTTAGCGTTGTACTCCTATTAATTGTATATATATATATATTGCACAAGTGCTGTTTTAACTTTTTTATCTTCATCCGTGTTTATAAGTCTAATTAGGCTTTATTCAATAAACCTAAAAAAACAGGCAAAGTATATAATGTGTAATAATTTTTCATCTGCATATAAGACTGATTGGGTTCTGTCCCACGAACTTAATAAAACAACAACAACAACATACAATAGATAACTTTAAGAGTCAGTTGCCTATATCATCGAAAAGTAATCATGCTTTATAAGAATGATGTTCTAGGTTTCATACTGCCGTTGGAACTACATCTTCTATAGTCAGTTGCACTCAGTCTAATATCTACAGTATTGCTCGAAACTATAATTTCCATTGTAACAAGCTTCTTCGACAAATATTCTACATACTTTCCACTATGTGGACATTAACTTTCACGACTTAACAGAAATTTGTTCGAATTGGATTGTTGTACCTCCAGTTTCTTTAGCTACTGTTCTCACGAAAATAGCCATTTATTTCAAGTTATACTTATTCCGGAAACTAGTGAACGTTTGGCTCGTGAGCCTGGACAACTAGAAATCCTTTTTTATTACCTTGATAACATTACCAAGAAATATGCCCACCTTCATTACAATCAACTTTTTGGGCCGAAAACCTCTTTTTCGTAACCATTTCCTTACATTTGTCAATGAGAGTGTTTCTTCTACTTCACTTATGGTGTGATTAACATTCTGTAATGTACGCTATTGTTGATCTCTAGAGAGTTTATAAGGTAGAACATGTCCAGAAGTAACGAGAATATGTTAGATATATTGTATGTAACTATTAATAACTTCTGTTTAAGGTAAACTACCTAAATAGATAAAACTAAAAATATGTAAGTAAATAATATAACTAATTTAATATACTGGTGAAATAAAGAGTATGCAATGTCATAAAGTAAAAATTTCTAATAATTAGAATGCACTGCTATTATCGATATTTTCGGCTGAGAGAATAATCAAACTTATTTATATTGTTTGTAAGGCTTCAGTCCTCATACATTATACGCAAAGAATCCCATTTCATTCTAAATATAACTCAGAAAATGGAACTGTATATCAGGCAAATATGTAATTCTTTATTAAACGAATAAAGTAGGTGGCAAAATATTTCAAGTCATTCGCTAAGCCTCTGTTAGTCTTGGAACAAAAGCCGTTTCACTTCACAATCTATTCGACAAGAGGCGAATTCTGAGGACTAAATACAAAAATAGCTTATATCTTGTTTCCATCAAACCTTCGTTGTAGACAAACGTGAAATACAAGTGTCAATAAAAATCATCTAGTTTAAGGGTAAATTTCTCGAAAAGCTGTAGGGATGATTCGTGTTTTGGTAAGAGCTTAACTAAAGAACATTAGTCCTGATTACTGCTTAAAGCTATAGTAATTCAAAAATAAAAAATAATCGTGTTGGTGTGAAACTCATTGTGTTGAGATATAGTAGATTGGTTGGGAGGGTGCAAGGTTTAGCCTTTAACAGTGAGCATGGCTTTTTTGGGTATAAGATTGTACAGGACTGAAACATTGTCAATGAATTGTTCACTTAGATATTTTAACATCTGTTATTTTGAAATGTATAACTTCTGTTGACAGTTCAACCTTAAGTACAAGCTATCATTTTATTTTTTCCCGCAAAAAATATTCTATTAAGTACAGTTTCACTTGTAATTTATAAAGTGAATACTGATGGACAACGGAACTTTATTGGATTCCCTCTTCTTTACTAAAAACCGTGTTTTGGTACTTGTGGTGAGCACCGCAAAGAATAATCCAAACAAACTCTTCTTTACTTATCGTTGCTTGAATCGCTTTTGTTCTCTGGTTATTGTGCCACATTTACTGTAATATGGTGTGGATAGTGTAATATTGAAAGTAAGATTCCTTTGGTTTCTAGTAGAATTTCAACGGCTATTTCCTGTTAACTCATAGTTTCGTTTAAAAAAAGTATGTTTTTTCTTATATTTTTTCATTAGAGATCTTGCTAATAATATCTAATCAAAAACACCATAGGCGTGAAAAAGAAAGGTGCGGCTATAAAAGGACTATGTGTGAGACTTAAAGGAATGAAATCAAAATTGGCGACCAAACTTGTAGCTACACTTATAGCATTGATAAGAATTTTGCAGCAAATATTCCTTTATTACTTAGCCAAGCCGCGCTTGTTGTTCAACTTGGGCCACGACGATGTGTAAAACAAAATGCACGGCCTACCTAACTAATTCAATCCTTTTTTTGGCTACACCTTTTTTTCACACCTAAGGTGTTTTTAATTAGATATCATTATTTTCTGTCAATACACACCAACAAACCACATCAAGTAAGAAAGTGACACTCGATAGTTACCAACATTAGCTTTAGGATCGCAACCCTATTATTCGGAAAAAACATTTACTTTACAGAACCAACCAGATCCTTTAAAATATATGGTGGTAATTTTCCTCTCCAGAACAGTGTTAATTGCTTCCTTTATAGTTACGCCATGGAATTTATATTAAAAGTTTCCTGTCACCACCCCATGCAATCGTTACAGCCGTATCAAGCATTATTATTTATGCTAATTGCTTAAGCTAATATTACGTGACGCTAAACGCTCTTTAATTAGGATGTTTCCATAAAAGTTAGTAAATTTGTTCTGAAATGTTGGCAATCAATAATCAATAATAACTGTCCACCCGTATGATTCTTTTAAAAACTTGAGCTAGAAACTTAATCTAGCGTGCTTGGCCTAACCAATACTTATGTATCTGCACGACAGTGCATGTCCTTTCACCTTATAGATTTGCTGCTCTAAATCAGCCGTCTTTAATCCGAATGACAAAAAATCTAAAGTCGGTCCAATTTTATTCTTAGTTGAAGCTGTAGTAAAAATGTTAGACCGGTAGTTCACTTGATTTTTTTTGCGTAGGCGTGCGCAAACATTTTCGTCAAATTTGAGCGGTTTTTGTTGAATAACTTTACACATGTAGTTCATATTCACACCAAATGAGACTCTTAATTGTAGGTTGAAAAGATCTGTCAGTGTTACGAATTTGAAAAATATCCATAAAAGTTAGATATGTTTTTCTTTCAAATAAAGTTTCCGTGTTTTTGGTGCGAAGAAAGAAAAAAAAAGGAAGAAACTCCATCAAAATAGATGTTATATCTCAAGTATTTCTTAATGGATTGCCTTGAAATTTGGTATGTGAAGTACGAGTCCAGTAGAGCACATAATTCGAAAATATGTGATACTTTGTATAACCACAGTGCGAGATACAGAACGTGGAAAATTGCTAAACTATCACTCCTGTTAATAACACACATTGTGTCCTGCAGCAGGTTGTTTTGGCCGCACGACACACTACCGTATCTCTTGATAGTTGTAAGTACAAGTGTGAATGTTACCTCAAGATCAGTAAGATACACATTAGTACTAAGTGGTCTCAGTATATGTGTAGCTGCTACAAAAACCCTACTTATAAGATATAACCAAACCGAAAGAATGAAATAGGCATTATACTTTAAACAATGGGCTGAGAAAAGCATGCGGAGGGTGCTCTTTAGAGTTGAATCCAAATTGAAATTGCTTGACAACAGTCAGTGATGGTTTGGTCAATGTCACGGTTAATGTACATGTACAGTAAAGCATACTGGAGAAACAATACAAGTTCAGGCTGCATTTCACTCAATGGTGTTGGAAATCTATACAAAATTTACCACATCATGACTTCTGATAGGTACAAGTAGATTCTTCTCCATCATGTTATACCCTTGGGACAGTGATCACAAGTATGAATAAATATTGTGAAACGATACCTGGAAAGAAATAGTGGTCGATGAAACACTCACTACAATAGTGGTCCTGCATGATATGAATGTTATTACGTCTGTATGTTGTATGAGCTTATACAGAAACTGAGAAAATCAAATAACAAACAAACAACTTAGCTAAATTGTAATACATAACATTTGGAATAATACATTGATAAACTGGGCCATTCCATTACTAAAGTTATTACAATATTTTGATTGAAACTAGAGGTATCATTTATATCTCAATCATAATTCAAGCAATCACCTACATACAGGGATGATTGTATATATTTCAAATAAAGCTCAGGCACAACGTAGAAGAAAACAAACATGACTGAAATAATTCTTAACAGAAAATGCTATCCTCGAACAATAACATCAAAAAGGAAACGTCTGCTCAAAATAAAAAAGTTAATAGAGGATAGAAGATTTTCTGAGTTTCTCGTCGGAGTCATTTAATACGAAATTGGCATAATGTAGTCTGGTAGCTAGAATTTATAGTTTGCGATTCGTTACCGCAAAAACGTGATTTACAGATTGGGGCCTTTGGTGAAGGTGAAATCCCACTATTTAATCACAAAAAAGTAGCCTGAGAGTTGTCAGTCGGTGCTGTTGACTTAACTGCCTTCCCTCTAGTTTATTAGTTCAAAATTAGGGATGGCCTTGTAGCTTTGTCGGAGAATCTGAAACAAACTTATATGATATAACATCATATACATCTGTGTTTTATTGTACGTTGTTTTCAGCACCTTATGATATAAAACAAATAGTAAGAGTAGTAATATATATATATAATGTGGTTTCTTTCAACGAATTAAAAAAGTGCAAAATGTTAAAAAAACACCAAAAATAGACCAAAATCGTCAAAAAAATAATTAAGAAATGCTCAAAAATCATCCAAACTAGCTCAAAATTGTTTAAAAATATCGAAAATTGGAATCATCAAAATTTTTCTTCATTTTAGTTGCACTGGTCTCCAGGTCTATAGTTTAACCTTCCTACTTTAGGATATGGGGTTTCTGTTCCACTTGAAAGGAAAATATTTTCTAAAATATGAGAGAATTTTACCTAAAACGTTTTTTTTAATAAACGCATCACCATAAGAATTATCTTTTGGATAGTCTGACGTATCAAACACATTTTTTTATATCCTTATACAGGTCATCTGTTTTTATTTTATAAATATAAAAGACAGTATCTTGATATAATAATTGTAAGTCACCACTGTAGTTTGGTTTCACGAACCCATGGTAGAAACCATATAATATTATCGAACGATCTAGAATGCTCAAACCAATGTAAATTAGTTTATTGATGTTATTTTTGTTTTATTCCTATGTATAGTGGATAAAGTTTCTGTCTCCTTGAAGTTTGATTTATTTATTAACTTTGTTTGTATCACAACACAATTTGATATCAACTATTTTTCTAATATTTTTCATAGCCTATAGAAATACAGCATGATTTAACAACTTAAAAAAATATTTTTTCTTAATCATTAGTGGCTTAAGTTCTCGTTTGTAAATTTAGATCAATATATTTTTCTTGTGTATTTTAGAGCAAAGCCTCATTGGGCTATATGCTGTGTCTACCGCGAGAAATCAGTGTACACATTTCTTAAGGAAATCAGAATATTTTAACTGTAACACTGTGAATTTTCTTCGGTTTCATTCCAAATAATAAATATCGTTTAACATTTCTAAGGTGAAGTACCTAGCTTTTATAATATTGTCATTAATTTTATTTCTTTGGTCGATATTCTGTTCTCCTGAGCTAGCCGTATACGTGAATGATAGTAATGTAGTTCTTTTAGATAGTCCAGCTTTACTTCTGAAATATAAACTTACAAAATCATCAGGTACATCAATATTTGTATCATTCCATTTATATCCTCTATCGAATGAATATTGACGTATTGCCCATCCATACAGGGTACTAGAACCTAGATAAGCTAAATAAACAGATTCTTTATCAAGATCGTAATCTCACATATGTTTATCATTTGCTTTGCTATATCTATACAGTCTTCTTCGTGTTTCTTCAATCTATAAATGTAGTACTAGAACTTATACGTAATTTAGAGATTTTTTATATTTCATTATAATTTAGTTAATATATTTCACATACACTCTCCCCACGTAATAGGCTATGTGACTACCAAATTATTCACATCATGTAAGTTAATTTTTACATAACGTTTAATATTTGTCAAAGTATCCCCTGAGCACTTACAATTTTTCTTCTGGTTCACTATCTTTTAACACAGAGAACAAGACACAATAATATTTATGTCACCGCTAAAAACTGAGTTGCGATACACTTGATGAGCGCAAATTAGATAGCTCATTGTGTAGCTTTGTGCTTAATAACAAACAAATAAACCTCTATTTCAGGATCACAATTTGCAGTCTCAACACACAGTGAAACAAAGATAAATATCAGTGTTTCAGTAACTGGAAAATTGATTTTCATTATAGCTATTTTCTTCTACTACTTAATATAGTTTTCTTTCACATACTTAGAGTTGAGTTACCTCCTTCAGTTTCTTACATAGAGGCTTACAATCATTGAAAAAGAGTCACCCATTACTGTTATTATTGCTTTATTCAATAAAATACAGATCAAAAGTTATTAGAACTGTCTGGATTTTTTTTACCACTAACTGGAGTTTATCACTAGAAAGAACTATTAATATAAATAAAATAACGACTCTTCCTGCAAAGTATACATTTTACCACTCAATATTTTGCTTTACAGCATTTTAAGTGGAGAGCAAACTTGTTAATAGTTATACAAAGCGTAATGTTAAATAGGTTAGACCATATGTTTCACCATTTTTTGATCATCCACTTTTTTACTAATGTAAGGTCGTATATAATGAGATTTTTCAGTCTATACATTAAAATGTTTAGTGACTACAAATTTAATATTGGTTTAACTCGCACTGTCAGATAAGTTTTCCTTCAATCTAGCTACTACTAAGTTCGGTCCTCACCCACATATTATAAATTGCAAATATAAAACTATTCAATAAAAATTAATTTAATCCATGTAGTAATATCATTATTAGCATTACTCTATAAATCCCTAATTGTTTTAATAGAAATTTACGAAGCTGGAACTGTAATTTAATAAATATTACGTGTGTATATTGCTTGTGTTGTATGACCAGTATCATCACTCATTTTTCTCTTTTTTTCTATTACTTTCATATAAGTTCAGTAAATAAAAATTGGATCTTAATTTTTCATAGCTATACATTTGTTGAGAAAATAGCATTCTATTTTAATGAAATAAAAAATAAATATTTGTAAATTATTGTTGTTAACGCTCCGCGAGTCCATTATATTTATCGAGATTTGTTTAATATTGTTTGTTAAAACTTTGATACAAAGAACAATAATTATAATGATTGTCTAGTGGTTCCAAAATACAGCATGCTTCACGTTTAGTTTGAAAGAATATTAAGAATTGATCAGATGAAATAGATATTATTGTTTATACAGCACTTTATAACGAAACACGAAAGTCGACAATAGGAGTATAAATGACAAAGCTTAGTTAAACAATTATATTTCAATGTTTATAACAACAAAAGTCTTCACTAAAAATAAAACACACATCTGAAGTATATGTTTCCATATGATTCTGCCTATTTACATCGTCAGAAATAAATCGATAATGATTTGAACACATACATCCATGAATTCAAAGTATACATAGGTAATTTGTTGTTAACTGAAAGTATTTTAATGATAGCCTATCATTTTTTACAAATCCCATCCCTTTGGTCTTTCCATTATCTATAACGATAAAAGGATATGGATAAATTTCTCCTCTTTGTTTAAATTTGTAGCTCAAAACATATAGGGTGATATTTTACAAAAAATGAAAGAGGACCAAAAGGCGGAATCAGATTTATTATTCAAATAGAATATCATTGAAATACATAGAAAGAAAAATGGATTTTTTTACACCAATCTCGGTTCAATGAGATCGGCATAAACAAAATGGTGAATGTTGTATAGAATGTTATGTACATATGCAAACAAGATTAATAATAAAAAGTAAACACGTGTAGCCATTCAAACCCTTAAAAATTAAACGTAGGTTATCATTTTATTTGCATATATTACACTTTTATGGAATTATTTCTGAAAAAAAGAAACGTACTATTGAAAAAAGTTAAACATTTTAGAATTTCTTTATAATTCATCATAATGCAAATTATAACTTTATGAGTTTTGCGAACTAGGTTTTATCATGATACATAAAATTATCTAAGCACTACAAGTTTATGAAAGGTTGATATATTAAAGTCAAACGCTTTGCAGTCTATTAGGAAATAGGGCAAAATGGCATAGTAATGTGAATGGGATATAAAAGGAGGTGTTACAAATATCGTTTTATTTTATCATTGTTACATAATTTATAATGTGTGAAATTAATTTAATTTCATTTTAGGATAACTTTAGGGTCATAAACGTCACTCTGAATACTTGAGTAAGGAAGCACATTATGCTAATATAATAATAGGTAGGCAAATCAGCATAATGAAGAATTTTATTCATAGTGGAACCTACCACATGTTTCGACAGAAGACAGACCAATGTTCTTACGAAACATAAAAAATTCTTCCTTATGCTAATAACTCGTAGTTTGCCTTAATATTATTTTCACTCTGAATGACATTTTGGTGTTGCGCTTGTCTTGATCTGTTCTTTTAATTTATTATTAATTATTATTGAGTTTTTAAATTAAATAATTTTGACATGTTTTCGATAAACAAGGTCAATAAGTAGATTTGTTTTTCATTGTTTATTTTTTAATGTTTTATCAGTATAAAAAATAACCAAACAATGAAAAAGACAAGCAAAATAGTAAAGTTGTCATTAAAAGTGACCTTTACAATTCTAAATTTATTCCAGAAAAAAAATATGTGTAAAATATAGCTTGACGTTGAAATTCTGGTACAAAATAACTTTGAGTTTTAAAACATAAGATGAAAATAGCATTGGTGACAAAATAGTTTTAACACGGCAGAAGTATTTACAGGAAATGTTAGAAATGTTGTCAAAAAAGTATATGACTTCAGAGATTATGTGAGGATATAACTATGATGTTAAAAGTGTTGTAAGGAACTGAGATCAATGTCAAAAGTATAGGTTTTTGTGAGGATATAATTTTGACATTAAGGGTTATAAGGAAATAGAGTGACGTTAGAAACGCTGTGAGAAAATATCTTTATAGCTAGACGCATTATGAAAAAACGTTTTGTGTAGGAAAATTTACATCACAGTGTTGAAAGAAAATATTTTTGATGTTATAGAAATGCTGTAACAAAATAGCTTTATGTCGTTGGAATTATGAAAATATAGCATTACTATTAGAAACAAAGATTGTATAAAAACAGCTTTGTTGTTTATACAGAGGCGTTTTGAGGAAATAACTTCAATGTCAAGTGCGATATACAGGAATGGTTTTCACGGCAATGGTGAAGCAAGTAGCTTTGGTGATAGAAACGATGTGAAAATTTTCGAACTCGTGAATTTAAGTGTTTTACACTCACAAAAAAAAAGAAACCTATCATTCTATAGGTAGTTTACTTGTTGTTAAATAAATGTTTAAAGAAGTCTATTTATTCAATGATGTGAACATTTTGTTTGGGTGTCAAAAGGATATATCTTTGATTTTTGAAGTGTGGTGAGTAACTTGTTTAAGAGACTGAAATTTAGTAGGAAATATAGGTATGGTGTTAGCAACGTTATGAGAATATAGTCTTAAAGCAGGGTAAATTATGAGGAAAACAATTTACTGTGAGGAATATTATCAGAAATTTTGGATTTCAAGAATGTTGTGAGGAAACAGTTTTCGTTATAGAAGCATTGTTAGGAAAAAATGGTACGAAGTTAGAAGTGTTTCATACCACAACATTAAAATTTGTAATAAGGAGCAAGTTAACTGCAGATGTGTTTTCCTCAACATTCCTCTTAATTTATCCAACTTAAGAAGAATGTGGAAAAAATATATGCACTTAACTTGTTATTATAGCAATCATTAGACCTATTTGTTTTCCAATATATTATTTCGCTGGCTTAAAGCGACCATAACTTTAAAGTGTTGAATACGTTGATGTTAGAAGGGTTGTAAAAATAATTTTGATGTCCTAAATATTTTAAGTCACTGATGTCAAGGGCGATTTAAGAAATGATTTTAATGTTAAAAGGTTGAGGCAAAATAGGTTTCATGTCAAACGTTTAGTGAAGAAAAACTTTGATGATTGAATTTTCGCAAGAAAATAGCATTAGTGTTGGAGCAAGAAATTTTGTAAAAAAATAACTGTTGTCATAAATACTGTAAAAAAAAATTGATATCAAAAGTGTTATCAGGAAATTACTTTAATAAGAAGGTAGATTTGACAAACCACATTTGATTTTAGATACGTTGTGAGGAAATCATTTCAAAGCAAGATATTCATTGAGGAAATAGCTTTTATATCAGATGTACTGCGGAGATAAAAAACATTGTGAGCTGGATATCTTTTTAATGTCAGTGACATTGTGGAACATGTCATTGGCATGTATTGTGATTACGTAGCCTTATTAACATAACCTTCGTCAATTGATAACTATCAGTTTATAGCCTTATTTTCAGAAAATAAAATAGTTCTGAAAGTCCGAATATCTAAACTGTTGAGACAAAACGTATTGCTCTGCTGTTATAGAAAATTTTACATTTGTAAATGTTGTGTGTACGTAACTTTGGTATGAGAAATGTTGTCAGTATTTAGACGTAACTTTAGAAATCATTGTCAGTCATTATCGCCATTGTTGTAATATGGTCAAATTTATACTGGCAGTCTTTGTGAATGGATAGTTTATGTTGGAGCTATTGCGAGAAAGAGTTGTCTTGTTAAAACGTTGAAAGGAAAGAATATAAACATAAGAAAAGTTCGAAGTCAGTAAAATTTGGAGCCTATAATAATAAAATCAAAATATACGTAAATGAAAGGAATCACTTTTTCTAAATAATTCAGAAAGATCACGAACATTCTTTGTGATGCTTGTACTTTTAATAGTTACCCATCTCTTTTGCTGTAATAACTAACTCCAAGCTTACAAACTGCTCTACTTAGAAAGACTAACGCTACAAACTTGTCTGTTTCGCACGTCCTACTGTTACTTCGTTACTATATTTGAACCTATGCCCAGTGGAATTTTCATTTAAAAATTAGTCGTCTATAGTAGTAGTATAAGAAATATGAAGTGTAGATCTACCTTACCTGCAGTAGAAGCTGTACATGTTGTCGAGACTAGTGTGGAACTGAGAGAACACAGAGAGACTGCTTGTACTCCGTATAACAGAATACAGCTTTCCTCTAAACGATTTGTCCAATACGATCCTGTGCTAACAATTCCTTCTAGTGTTATCAGACAAGTGCTGCCATGAATTGACGTCATTCTAGCTTCCAGCCCCCTCGCATGCATAGATGTAATTTGTGTATAAGTCAAAAGCAACACTCTCATAAAATTTCACTGATGTACAAGAATATAGTACTCAAACTTTCATTGAAAATTGAACTGAAATAGTATTGATCTAGAATTCAAAATCTTACTCCCGTTAACTGATAGGTGCTCCAATAACATAAAATATAAACTTATCTATTGTGCTACTGATCTGTAACAAGATTACTCAAATCCGATTACAAATATTTTAGATAAAGTATCTTTCTCTTCGATATCATTTCTTATTCTCACGACCTAAAACTTGCGTAGTAGAAACGTATGATAAGGAAAATCTTTAATTTTTTCTTATGTTTCTTGAATGTTTATGAAAATGTTGAAAATAATAAAATTAGCTTATGGTCCTTTGTTCACGTGTACAGTCTGTTTACAAAGTACAATCTGCAGTACATTTTGTGATGATACAGTAAATAGACCCATTCATTTCACAGGTAAATAAGACGCAGACATATTATAGCTAATGCTTTTTAAACCTGAAATTATATTAATTTACCGCATACAACAGCGTCCGAGACTAATTCAGCTCTCTTATTAATATCGAAACCCGCTATGGGAAATGTACTAAAGACACAGAAAATAAATGGATGCCCCAAATGTGGTTTGAGACAAATAATGTCCAATAATTACCATGGCCAATGAAACCCTCAACCTAAGTTCGTTTATACTGCGTTGGGAAATTTAGGGACTCTTCTTAAGGGACAGAAAGGTTTAACGAATTTGTTATTGTATATTTATTTTAATATCAACGTTGTTTGGATTAAGTTTATATCTAAAACATGCATAGTTTATAGTGTTAAATATATATTTCGTAACTCCCGCCTCTTCTCCAAAGTTGTAGAAGATTCTCGAAAGTAAGAATCAACAATATATGTATATACGTAAATACTTGTATTGTTACGTAAGACTGAATTTTATTTCAGTAAAAGTAAAATGTGAAAAGAAATATATTGGAAGGTAAAAAACTGAATATGTAGGAGCAACAGGTACTGAAATGCTGAGATAATGACAATACTTTTATAGCAGATTCTGGCTATCTCATATAACATCTTTCTCCTCCAAGAGTTGAACGAATCTGGTTTTATAAAGTCAAAATTGCATTCATCATAAACGTTTCATTTGTAGGTGACAAATCAGAAAATGAGCACCATTATGGGGAAATATCTTTGTTCCTGTGACAGTTGCAAGGTAGTCCTCTATACTTAATGTAAAGTATAATACAGTGTAACTCTCCCATGAAAGAGTACATGAGTTCTTTGACAAGATGATCTACAGAAAGTAGATTTGATGTTTAAAGGAATTCTATCTTTATATTGTTAAATTGTGATAAGAGAGTTAGCAAACAGGATCAAACACAAAAGGTGTAATGAATTTTTAAAAAAGAACCAAAACTCGAGCGCATTCGAATCGCTGACTATTCTGCTTCACGAGAATGAAGGGTGGGGATTAGTGAGTGCAATGTAATATATAGATACTATGTACAGATATAAGATACAGATGTTGACGTTACGTAGGTAAGGCGTTCCAGGTGAGTTAACCTTGGAGACTAGCCAATCATAACTGGAAACGCTGGTGTCAGGTTTAGTTTGTACAAAAGAAATATGTACATTACATGAAAGACATGAGAGTGATAATAGTTAAAAAGATGTTAAAACTGTTTTCATACGATAGAAAAATAAAATAAAAACAAAGGAGATGGGAATTAGATAAAATGATAATGTAAAGCAATACATAGGAAATAATGCTAATGTAGAGAAATATAAACAAGAATAATACTAATAGTAAAAAATAAATAAATAAATAAGTTTAATTACAAAGTTGTTTTTGAAATGTTTTTAGAGACGCACGAAGATAAACAATCCCGGGATCGAGATTGATGCCATTCGGTGTTACAGTATCTAATAACACTATCCAGTGTTTAGTGACCGGATGTTTATTGTTCATTTTGATTGAAGATCTGTAGTTATCCAATCGTTCCCATACAGTTGTTATGGTTTCACCCACATACTGAAAGTCCATTTGAAAGTCCATTTTCGGCATTGGATTAAAAAAATAGCGGTTGTTTTATTGTACAGCAGGTTATGGTTTAGTAATTTCAAACTGTCTTTGGTTGTCTTTATTTCTTTTTAATTAAATTTTTTATGAACTTAAAAGTTTGGCAACGCTTGTTATTGCAGGGATGAACTAAGCGTGGTTTCAAAGGTGTTATTTTTTTTCTGAAGGAAATAACAGGAACTTTAGTAAAAATAGATATCAGTCGATCATTAAGTTGAACGAGTTAGAAGTTTTTGTTGTTATTTTTTTGCAATATCTGGAACACGAGAGAAATTTGTTTTAGACGATTGTTTGAAGGTAAATTCGCGTAGAATATTGTTAGCTTTGTCAACTTATTGAATCACAGTATTCTACTTATAACCTCTTTCATTCATAATCTGCCCCCAGTGGCTCAGCGGTATGTCTGCGGACTTACAACGCTAGAAACCGAGTGTATGGCTGTGTCTTTTGTCTGAATTAGTGAATATTATAATATAAAGCAGTATATAGAAAATGATACTAATATAGGGAAATAGAAATATGAATATAAATTCGAATAACACTCATAGTAAAAAATAAATAAAATATAAGTATATATTTACATATAAAGTTTGAGTTTGAGGAGGTTTGATATTTACTGATAAGTTTTAACCTGTACTTGATCCTGGCATAAGGTTTGAATGGGATAAAAGTCCATTGTTGATGTTTTCTATGGTTAATATTCAAAGGAACATATATATATATATATTTCTATTGTCTTGTACTTGTTTTTCGTTCACAGTTTGATCTTTTGTAAGGATTTGTTTGAGATGTAGGGAAGATTGAATTTCATAGGTCACTGTATAAAAAGATAAGATTTGAGAAACATGAATATATACATACATATTCCCATAGTTTATTCAACATTTAGGATTTGAAAATAATATATGCAGAAGAGCTGATACTTTAACGTCCTTGCTTTTTCAGCGGAATGAATGAAAACATTATTTCTACCAGGCCTTTAGAATGAAATACTATGATAATATTTTGGGTAGAGAGCTTTGAGTCTTAGTAGATGAAAAACTGTTAGTTGTAGAGTGAGCGATCCATTATAATTGTTTAAGAACTTTGGGTAACTTTGTGTAAATTTGAGAAACAAACGTCTGAGAGTAAAATTATAAAGAATTTCAAATAAGTGAAGTGCTGCGGGTATTGGAAAATAAAGTGTACATGTTTTAGTGAATAAGGTGTTGTAAGTCCCAACTGAATAAAATGTTGTGATTTTCAAAGCAGTTCAATTTTCTTTAATTCTTGGATGTATGCAGAACTGAAAATCTAGGCAAAGAAAACGTTCTACACATTGAGGAGCTAATGGTTACATGTCTTCATTCTGTGAAATAAAGAAGTAGCGGACTAATGCAAGCCTAATGTGAGTAACAAATTGTCTGACGTGGGTGAATAATTTGGTTTTTCAAGTGATGAGCCTCGGATCTTAAAGTGAGTGAGTGAGTGAGCAAAGTGTCATTCCTCTGGAATGAGTGGAGTGCTGAAAGTCTAGGCTGGTTAATTTATTGTACATTTCATATGAATGGAATGTAGTGAGCATATGAGTAAAATTTTATATACTCCAAATGACTGAGGTTTGCGAACGAAGCAACGTATATTTTAGGTAAGCAAAGTATTTTATGTCTTGAGAGAAAGAAGTGGTGCAAAAATTCAGTAAGTGAACTAATTGCGGCTTATCAATATTTTATAGTTATTGTTAATGGCTCGTGATATTAGGGTAAGAATAAATATTCACCCAGTAGTTATAACTACAGATATTTTAAACATGTTTCTTCATTTTGAAACACTTGCATATTTGTAGATAGAAAAAAGTCACTAGAACCAAGTTACACTTAATACATAATAACATATTAGCATTACCATATTTTTACATTTGGAATATTTAAGGTAAACCACATCACTTATTTGTCGAAGCAACTAAGATAACTAATAACAAGACCAACTAAAATTAATGTTTGTTAATTTAAAAAAAGATTGAATATATTTTTAGTTGGTCACATAATATGTAAGATTACTAAACTTGTTAAAATAGATACCCATCCAGGTGGAGAGAAAATAGATTATAAATTTCAGTTAAAGATGATTTGTTTTGAATTTCGCGCAAAGTGACACGAAGGCTACCTGCTTTAGCGTCCCTAATTAGTAGCAAACAGTTTGCCCCTGAACAAGAAAGGTCCACCTTTCGAAAGCGCTCAAAAAAGGATTATATTGTTTTTATTCATTGATTTTTATAAAGATCTGATAATAAAACTATTTCAAAAGACAAAAATTTAATTGCATGGGCACAGGACCAAACCGATGATATCAATAAGCACTGACATTTTTTTTCCACACATCTCATCCAATCATTAATCTACTGGAAACGTACAATAAAAATTATAACTCCTATCTCTGCTGTCTTTTTTTATCTCATTCCTCGTGAAAGCAACGTCCGTTTGATCAACCTGACTTTATATTATTTCAATATCGCCTATAAATTCTCGTTGAAAATAAGTGTTTCTTTCTTAGACAACTAAAGCGGTTAGGATGTCGGGTGATTTTTATAATAACATGTACAAAATGATTAGAGTTCACCAAAAGCCATGTTCATAAAATTGTTATATTTGTGCAGGATGTTATTACCACATCTATTTCACAAGTAGAATTAGCTGTTTATAATTCCTAGAACTTTACTCTGAATGTATTTAATGATTTATATGGTATAATAATTGCTTATTTTGCACTTTCAACGATTTGACATTGAACAACGGTTACAGAAATCTTGTTTTGAGA